TTCAAAGTGTCCTCCTTTATATGAGACCACAGTTGGAACACGGAAGAAACTCTGGTCTTTCTCTCTATTTGTGCGGTTGCTACAAGCGTACACCGCACAAACAGATGGCATTTTGACAGAGCTTCTTCTTCTACTATATCTCCGTGTATAAACCCGGCAGACTGCACCGCCAGGATACGTCACGTCCTGTCCTACATTTGTTATTCACACCACTGCTCTGACGTCATACAGTATGAAACCCAAGAATACATACATTTCGGGTTGTTGAGGTGGGGGTGGAAGGTGAGGAGGGCTAAAAACCTTTGGGAACCCCAGAGCTATGGCATCGTGGCCTTGTTTTTTTTTTGTGTGTGCTATACAGACATACAAAACTGTCACGAGGTGGATTGCAGGAAGGACCCCAAAAAGGCAGGAAATGCGAAATAATGGTTTGAGAAAGATAATAACTAAAAGTCCAGGGTAAAATACACCAAAAGCCAAACTAAACACAGGAACAGAGACAATAGAGGACAGACGTTGACAATACAATAGACCAGCAACAAGAGGAGGGGAGCACAGGTACATATAGACACAGGCAATCAAGACAGAGGAACAAGACAGGACGTAAAACTGAAAATGAAACCACAGAGAACAGAAGTCAAAACAAAACCAAGTAAAAATTTACAAAAAATCCAGACCATGACAGTCGCAAACTAGAATTGTTACTTTGGCCACGGCTGAAATCGAGCGGAGAATCTGCAGCCATCTTATCCACCGCTGCGCCGCTTTTTCAGACATGTCACGTTGCTTTGCTGTAATTTATACTCCCACAAATCCAAAAATCCCGACGAGATACGTGTGCAAGCTGTTGTTATTTCTGACATAATTAATCAGAGAATGACTAAGCTGCCTGTGCATTAAACACACACAAGAGCTTTATTAACTGGATACATGCATCCCACGGATCATCACTCCTCTCTCTGCTCTCTCTGGTCTCTCTCTGCTCTCTCTCTGGTCTCTCTCTGCTCTCTCTCTGGTCTCTCTCTGGTCTCTCTCTGCTCTCTCTCTGGTCTCTCTCTGCTCTCTCTCTGGTCTCTCTCTGGTCTCTCTCTGGTCTCTCTCTGGTCTCTCTCTGCTCTCTCTGCTCTCTCTCTGCTCTCTCTCTGCTCTCTCTGGTCTCTCTCTGGTCTCTCTCTAGTCTCTCTCTGGTCTCTCTCTGGTCTCTCTCTGGTCTCTCTCTGGTCTCTCTCTGGTCTCTCTCTGGTCTCTCTCTGGTCTATCTCTGATCTATCTCTGGTCTCTCTCTGGTCTCTCTCTCTGGTCTCTCTCTCTGGTCTATCTCTGGTCTCACTCTGCTTTGTCTTTGTACTCTTGTTCTGCTCTTTCTGGTCTCTCTCTCTCTTACTCTGCTCTCTCTCTCTCTCTTGTTCTGGTCTCTCTCTATACTCTCTCTGGTCTCTCTCTGGTCTTTCGTTCTTGTCTCTCTCTCTCTCTCTCTCTGGTCACTCTCTATATCTTGTTATGGTGTCTCCATACTCTCTCTGAACTCTCTCTGAACTCTCTCTCACTGATCACCCTGTATACTCTCTCTCACTGGTCACTCTCTCTGGTCTCTTTCTCTGGTCTCTCTCTCTGATCCCTCTCATTCTGGACTCTCTCTGGTCTCTCTCTCTGGTCTCTCTTTTTGTGCATCCATCTCGTGTAACCTGTGATTAGCATTCTGCTCTGCCGTCTCTCATCAAAAAGAGAGAGAGAGAGAGAGAGAGAGGTGGTGGTGGTGGTGGGGGGTCTTTCCCTGCTCGTCTGGGGGCGTTTAATTAAAACCTGGGCCGTGATGAAGCGACACCACCAGTGTCAAAACTAAAGTTCATTCTTGTTTATGATCAATCAGCAAAGATGCAAACAGCAACATGTGGCATATGGAAATAATGATCAAAGTCTGACGCAGCCTAATCTGGACTTCACTTATTTATTATTATTGATCAGTTATGTCCAGAGTGGGTTTTTCAGTTTGATATCCTCAGGTTTTTCCAGCCTGAAAACAGCCTCCGCGATAAACCACTCCTGCTCCTCACTTTTCCACATAAAACAGCCTCATTTACCAACAGATGCTACTGCTGCATTCTTGACTTCATACTTTAATTTATGCTTTCGTGGATAGCCCTAAATCACAGCAGCGGTTTTCTCAGACGACTTCACAAAGTTGTCGATTCACCAACAACAGATGAGGGAATAAAACACAGGAAATGCAATAATAACAAACAAATAGGAGCCATTGGTCCATTATCTCTGTTCATACATGTTAAAAAATGTGCTTAAATGTCATAGATCATCACTGTCCTTAGATCCACGTGCACCGTCAAGGAACAACTCAAAAATACTGCGTTGGGAAAAAATGTGAGAAGCCTGGGGGAGATCCATATTCTTCCACGGCCAGACAGATTGTAGATCCAAGACTGAAGCTGTAGATCCAGGACTGAGGCTGTAGATCCAGGACTGAGGCTGTAGATCCAGGATTGAGTTGTAGATCCAGGATAGACCCAGGACTGAGGCTCAAGCTGTAGATCCAGGACTGAGACTGTAGATCCAGGACTGAGTTGTAGATCCAGGATAGACCCAGGACTGAGGCTCAAGCTGTAGATCCAGGACTGAGACTGTAGATCCAGGACTGAGACTGTAGATCCAGGACTGAGGCTGTAGATCCAGGACTGAGACTGTAGATCCAGGACTGAGGCTGTAGATCCAGGACTGAGACTGTAAGTAAGTAAGTAAGTAAGTAAAGTTTATTTGTATAGCGCCTTTCACAGACCAGGGTCACAAAGCGCTTCACACATTAAAATACAAAATACACATACAAGTCAGATAAAACAAACACAGAAAACACAATTTACATTCACAAAGGCCTATGAACAATGGTGCGAGAACGCCTGTCCAAACAAATGTGTCTTTAGTTGGGACTTAAAATCATCAACAGTCTCTACGATACGCAGAGACTGAGGAAGCTCATTCCAAAGGCGAGGAGCAACTGCCTGGAAGGATCTGTCTCCTCTGGTTTTGAAACGAGTCCGGGGGACCATCAACAGGTTCTGAGTAGAGGACCTCAGACTCCTGTTGGAGACATAAGGGTGGATCAGGCCCTGGATGTATTCAGGCGCCTGACCATGATCCACCCTGTAGATCCAGGACTGAGACTGTAGATCCAGGACTGAGGCTGTAGATCCAGGACTGAGGCTGTAGATCCAGGACTGAGACTGTAGATCCAGGACTGAGTTGTAGATCCAGGATAGACCCGCAGGACTGAGGCTCAAGCTGTAGATCCAGGACTGAGGCTGTAGATCCAGGACTGAGACTGTAGATCCAGGACTGAGACCATAGATCCAGGACTGAGACCGTAGATCCAGGACTGAGGCTGTAGATCCAGGACTGAGACCATAGATCCAGGACTGATCACTTGTTCTGCATCTACACATTCTACTTTCCATTTCATATTCACACTTTTTTGTTTTAGCCCAGTAGCTGTGAGTGTATAGAGCCTTCTTTGTACCACCGAAACTCCTTGTCTCCCGCGGCGATCTGCGGTCGATTCCCCTCCCCCCCCGTGCCCACATTACACCGTTTACATTTTAATACGACTATGGATTATCCAGCGCTGACGTGTTTTGGGTAGATATTTCATCGCCGGTCTCCGCATCCCACAATCCCCAGCTCTTTGCACACACACTCATTCACTAACCAGCACGCTCCTGTAATCAGTCTCTGTATGCCTCCCCCTGGACACACCCCCCTGTGCTATTCAAATTAAATTGGATTTCATTTCCGAGCGGCTATTCGTTCCACGGGAGCTTTGTTTAGTGTTCGACTCCTCCCATGATTTTGATTTTTGGCTCGTAGCAGCATCAGCCGTCGCGTCTCCGAGCCAATAATTAGGCGGGAAAGTTGTACAGGAGCTGACTTAGTGGATTTTTGAGTGGGCTCAGAGCATAGACTTTAGATTAGGAGTGGACAGGCGGAGTGTGACATCACCATAGTGTTAGCCTTAATGAGGAAGAAGCCGATTTGAACAAGAGCTAGCTGGAGACAATACCCTTATAAGGGCATTTCCTCTTTTGTATTAGTTTCCCGCAGTATCAAAGGCAGCAGTTGTTAAAGATGGTTGCTAAGGAAAGGGGGAAATTCGCCCGTGAATGAAAACATCTGACTGATCGATCATTTTATGGCTCATATCTGGACCAGGAACAAACAGAATGCTATAAATAAAAAACACATTTAAGACCAAAACTGTGAGTGTGACTCAAACGGTTACTGAGCAAAAGGACTTTACTTTCCAGTGTAAGTTAAAGAGCGACTACACACCAAATTAACTTTTTTTTAACTCATAAACTGCATAAATGTTTATTGTTGTGCTCTCTACATCCTGGTCATTTTTTTTTGACATTTTAGTTCAAATTAGATAAAATCTCACTTTTGAGCCTAAAAACGTCTGTGTGGCGCTCTCTCAACCTTTTTTGGTGGTACTACATCTGAATTTGGTCCTGGCTTCTTCATTGACTGTAATTCTGTGTGATCAGTTGGTGTGTGTGACGTGCGTCTGTCTGCGCCAGTGATATAAACCCATTCAACTCTCACACGCCCCAGCTGCAGGTTGGAGCATTCTGACGTATTCTGAGTGGATTAACATTAAATTACATCAGTTGACAACCACTGCTGCTGAGATAATTCTGTGGATTAGGTTCAGGTGTGTAGCTCTACAATGATCTTAGTGTGTAAACAAGGGAATGAGACTTTCTGGTCTGTTAGCTATTGCTTTAAGCAGCAATGACAACTGTCTGGTTTTTTTGTGTGTGACAAGTGAGCTGTCAATCACAGCCCAGACCACGCCCAACTCTAAGCCCCCCTTCTTGTCCCTTGGTCCTCGGGCAACGCCCTTTTACGAGAACATTTTCAAATGTTCATGTCGGCGGAGTCAGCCTGGGCACAGGTGTTTAGTCGCTCTTTAATAGGAGTTACGTCAATAGGAGATTATGGATGAGATTGACCAAAACTTCATCCGTAATTGCTTTCCCCTTCTGCAGTCGTGCTGTGCTCTGCCGGAGTCGAAGCGCCAAATCCTAACCACATTCTGTGCAGCACAATAAATGTAAATCTTGAAAATATTGTTTTTATACCATGTTTTTGTCTCATCCTGGACCATGAGTCTGTAATAAAGGTTTGATGATGATGATTGTCCTCAGAGTCATATGTCTAGTTTATATAGTGTCAGATTAATTTCCAATCAATATACAATTCTAATTATACCCATGTTTTGTCTGTTCCAGTCTCTCCAGATTGAAACAGTGGGAGGACTGAATCCAATCCACTTTTATAGAGCACATTTGATAAAACAAGTGTCTGAAGTGCTGCGCAGAGAAAAAATTGACACATTTAAATATACAGGTTTTCCAGCATTATATGTTTAAAAAATAAGTAAGTAAATCTGAGCTTAACCTCAGCTTTAGCTTCATACTGATACGAAAACCTTTAGCGTGTTCCGGTTGCCATGGCGATCACTTAGCTCTCCTTCTCCACCTTTAGGTCTGGAGAAAGTGGGCCGGGACTCCAGTTACGAGCAGGAGGGGAAGGTCCAGTTTGTGATGGACGCGGTGTACTCCATGGCCCACGCGCTGCACAACATGCACCGGCAGCTCTGCGGCGGCGCGCCCGGCCTCTGCGCCCGCATGGCCAACATCGACGGGAAGGAGCTGCTGGCCCACATACGAGCCGTCAACTTCAACGGTAAGTGTTGGTTTTTCTGTTGTATGTGTTATGAATGTGATGTGGGGAAAGACTCCGGGTGTTTTTGATTCTGAGTTGTCCTGTACAAGTTGTCACCCCTTTTACCCCTTTTATCAAAGGCCATTTAATGAACCATTTTAGATCATGGTTTTATATGTTGCATTTCTATTCCCCTTATGAGCTCAACTATAGCGTTGTGACAGCATCAAAAGTGTTGTCAATAGCAGGTAAATGGACATAGACATAAAAAATAAGAACATTAAGTACATTAAGCTCAAAGACAGATACATGTTCTGCACCAGATTATAGCAACACAGCTAATTTTGGTCCGCAGTTCGTAATAATACTGCTTTGGTTTTATACAGCGCTTTTTTGGACATTCAAACCCACTATCCATACCTACTATCACACATTTTACCCAATATTTAATGGATCAAAGTTTCACGGTCAAATGTGATGAAAAACGCAGAAAACATACTATTTTTCATAGTAACCTTAGTAGTATTAGTAGTAGTAACTCCAGTAGTTCTGGATTTGATTCAGACCTTTCTGTGTTGTGTTTGCATATTCTCCCCGTGTCGGCGTAGGTTTCCTCTGGTTGCTCCTGTTTCCTATACCACTAAAAGCATGTACAGCAGGTCTGCGCCTCCTTTACGGCGACCCTGCTCCAATCTCTGTGTGGAGCAAGAGACAAATGCCCGTACTTACTTACTTAGCAGTAGATGTAGTTGTCTTCTACAGCTGTATTTTACAATGTGTGCACGGCTTTTGACAGCTGCAGCAGCGCTCAGACCTACAACCAACAGGTTTGACACCTCCACGGTGCAGTCGTGAGTTCAGGTGGTTAGAAAAGTGTATGAAGTGTGTGTGAGGGTTTTACGGCCTTAAAACATGGAGCTTCTACTTCCCAGATTTCGCTCGTATTCACTGAACTTGGTGGTTAAAAAAGTGTGTGAAACGTGTGGTCTGTGATTGGTGAGGAACATGGGTAAAAGCACTTAAAACTCACAACTTTTCTCGTTGAGTTTCAATGTCATATCAACATCCCCCAAATCCTCCACCTCCACCTTTAGAAGCAGCGTATCATTACCAAATTTACTCTCTCCTTGGGTCAAAGTTGCTAAAACGCTGCTTTGATATTTGTGAAAAGCCGTGATGAAGCAGATTTCTTCTGTAGCTGTCTCTGGTCTGCAATTCGCTCTGCCAAGGCTGGCTTTTCATTCACTGGCTCTCAAAAATTGTGATTAATTCAAACAGTAAAAAGCCTCTATGCTTCGGTCCAATTTTGAAAACTCAATTTGACTTTTCATTTGTCAAGGTAAAGCTTACAATCTTTTGCAGAAATAATGAAGTGAAACTGCATAACAGCCGTAGGAGAGTGTCAGGTTTTGCTTAAATACTTTCCAAACGCTTGTTATTGGACCGGACATATTTTCTTCAAACGTTCTTCATCATATCTCACTTTGTTTCTATGCTTCTATTTGAGAGTTTTACATTTGCACCAGCGTTTACTGAGGGTGAGAAGGTGGCAATTGATTAGCAGCTATAACAGGGGCAGACGTGTTGCTAAGACGGTTGCTAAAGCAAGCTGGAGTTTCTGCAGAGAATGAAGGCATGTGATTGGTCAATACTTATAAGGGTCATATCTGAATTTCCAATAATAATCTGTTTTGTATAGCGCTTTTTAGACGCTCATATACACTATATACACAGTGGCGATAAACTACTGCAGTAGCCACAGCTGCCCTGGGGCACACTGACAGAAGTGAAGCAACCAGTATCAATCAATCAATCAATTTTATTTGTGGAGCCTTTCCTACACAAGACAACACAAAGCGCCTCACAGCCCACATCATATCCAGAAAATCATAAACTTTAAAATCTACATATACACAAAAAAACACAAGAAATATTAAAAACATAATAAAATCACAAGTGATTAGAAACCTTAAAACATTAAACCCACACACAGGATTAAAATAATAAATAGCCACAATGCCTAAAAAAGAGTAAATATAAAATATAAAATCCTTCAGTTGTAGAGATAAAATCTTTCAGCTGTACGCACAGCTAAACAGAACTGTTTTTAACCTGGATTTAAAAACTGCGAGAGTAGATTCCAACCTCACATCTTCAGGAAGATTGTTCCAGATTTTAGCTGCATAAATCTCAAACGCTGCCTCCCCATGTTTAGTTCTGACTCTTGGAACCAGCAAAAGGCTACCTCCTGTGCTCCTCAGAGTCCGGGCCGGTTCATATGGCACCAACATGTTGCTTAAGTACTTTGGAGCGAGGCCATGGAGAGACTTGTACACAAGCAGCGCTGCCTTGAAGTCTATTCTCTGAGCCACAGGAAGCCAGTGCAGAGACCTGAGGACTGGACTAATGTGATCATACTCCCTGGTCCTGGTCAGGACTCAGGCTGCAGCATTTTGGACACAGTATGTGCCATCAGCCCGTCTGACCACCAACAACCATTCACGCACACACACAACTCATTCTAGGCAATGTGTGTGAAGTGTCTTGCCTAAAGAGTAAACAACAGAACAGTTCGGCACTTTACAATCACCCCAGTGGTGTTCCCAGAGGTCTCCAATCACAGTAATGACCAGGGCCTATCCTGCTTAGCTTCAAAAGTCTGCCGTAATCTGGCTCTCACAAGTATGTGGCACCACAAAGACAACAACAAAATATAAACACTAAGATCAAGCTCTAAAACCACTGATTTGAGTGAATGCGACAAAAAACTGTTTTGGGCTTCATTGAGCTAGCTGGTTAGTATTAATATAATTTCTTGTCTTCATACATTGTTCATATCTCACTTTGTTTCTTTGGTTCTATTTGAGAGTTTTAGCGTGATGTGAGGGTGAGAAGGCAGCAGTGACGTTTTTGAGTCTCGGAGATTCATTATGGGCCGATCTGGCATCTGTGTCTGGGCACGTGGACCATGTGTGATCTGCATTTCATTCATGTATGCACCCACACATGCAGCTCCCACGTCAACTCTGTGGTAGTTGTGGTTTCAAATGGAATTAAGAGGTACAAATCAGCTTCTATGTCTTTACAGTTCAGTTTCAATGTATTTTTGTATTGTCCTAAATCACAACGGTTGTTATCTGGGTTGATTTTACAAAACCGTCGATTCGCCAACACGGATCTAGCCTGGCCTTAGCCATCTGTAAACTCTGGTCAATTGTCATTTGCCTACATGTACTGTCTTGGTCTGCTGCCAGTGCAATTGCATCGGTTGAATCTCATCCGACCAATCAGCGTCAAGCGTTTGTGCCGAATTGGAGTTGTAGTTTGGCAATGGCGACGAATGCGATAGTAAAGTTATCTGTTCTGGTTCTATCAAGAAATTGAAGCCTGAGCAAGAGGAATGTTTAGCAAAGGTAATTACTGGCAAATAAGTTGTGGCTCTACTCCCCACGGGCTCCGTTAGTGGCAAAGGAGATGGCTAAAGCTAGGCTACATGCTAAATGCTAGAGACTCACTTGGGCGCGATACATATGTCACGGCAAATTCAGATCCAATTGTTTCAATCTGCAAAAGGAGTCTGTTAACAGAGCTCAGTGCTGCAAATCCAGATCTTACTGTAGTACAAAATGTAATTTGTACGATGGTGTGGTACGACCAGGCTAACACAGGTCAGAGAATAAAAGTTCAAACACAAGAAATGCAATGATAGAAAACACATTGGTCAATAAGGGGCAGATGACAAATGTCCACAAATGTTGATAAATGTCCATAAAATCCTCACTACTGTCCTTTACCGCACGATTTAAGGTGTAGAGGGGGCTGAAAGCACGTTTCCTGTGGGAGGGGCCACCTGCGGCAGCTCTTGGCCAGCTCCATAACTAGAAGTTCAGAATTTCCTTTTTTTTGCGCGCGTAGTTTCTCATTAACAACAGTTTATTTGAGTCGACAGCTGCTTGTGATGTAAGTCTGTTTCTGCAATGAATAGATGTGGACTCGTCACTAGGATAAGCCGGGTTGCTGGGGGGTTTTGGAAGTGGGCCCAGTATGCGGTGCTCGGCTCTTGATTTCGGTGTCTCGTCCCATCTGCAATTGGATGCTGGAGAAGCGACCTTGAGCCAAACAGGAAAGGACGCATGTCAATTAACGCAAAGGACCATGTGATGCGATGCCTTGGACCTGTCTGGTTTTTGTTTTGTCTTTTTGATTAATTTTACCTCTGTATTGCAATTGAAGTGCACCTAATATTTTTGTCCACACTTGAGGTAACCCTTAAGTGTAACTTGTGCTTGTTAATAAATTGAGTATCATAAGTTTGGGAAGTCTGGGCGTCTCTGTCTAGACTGCTGCCCCCACAACCTGGCAATGGATGAAGCGGAAGAAAATGGATGGATGGAAATTCAGAACGGGCAGAAATAACCCGATTTATTCTAGGTGATTTTGCTTTGACTACTGCCCCTATGACAACAATTACAGTGAGAGAACCTGGATAAATGCATTGACAAAGAGTAAATTAAAAAAACAAAAACAGTTGTATCTTTCGCTCTAGCATGTTACGACTCCTTTAAACCTTCGCCGAACCACGATCAGCAACAGGTCTTCCACCCGGCGCCCTGGCCTTCACTTCAACATCCTCCACTAACGCGCCCATCTGATCCGTGAACCGTCAAAAACCTCACACATCCATAAAATCAAGCCCAGTCCTGCTGCGTTCCCTTTTGCTTCACTTCCTCAAACACGGGCCGCCGAGGTTACCCATGATGCTGCGCTCCAATAGAGGCGGCCTGGGGGGGGGGGGGGGGGGCTAATCGCCAACTCAGCCGTGCGCCTCCTCTTTCGCTCCTGAGCTTATTTTTAGAGGAGCGTCAGGAGGCTACTTGTGCTAATACTGATGGAGACCGTGGCACGTTTTTTTAACCCCGACGAGAGAAAGGCGTTATTATCCAGCCGCGAAACAGAACAATAAACCAGCGCAGAAAGGAGATAAAACTGTTGCACTTGACTCCACGTTAAGGGCTTACAAG